TAATCTTCTGCAATTTTAACCCTCATTAAGCATGTTTATGAAGTCATAATTGGTGCTTAATTTGGTTAGCTCTTATTTTCACATAAACTTGCAATTTCACATTTTTTAAATTATTAATTGCTTGGAGTGTGAATGTTTATGGTGAAAATGTATTTTTGAAGCCCCTAAAATGTTAAAGATTCAATCTTTAATTGTTTATTTGGTTGGATCTTAACTTTCTAAAATCCACAATGATTTTTTTTTGGTTTTAATCATTTTTTAGTTGATTAGAATCTTAAAATAATCATACTTGTGCGAAAAATTATTGTTCTTCATATTGAAAATTTTTAATATTCAAATATGCACAAGTGAGTGTTGGGTAAAAATTTTTCATTAGATGAATGATTATTTATTCAACTATTTTGTTAGATCTCAATATTAATTTATGTTGGTTAAATTAATTGTGAAAATAGCCCTCAATTTTTGTAGCATTAAGTTGAGCCAAAAAATAATTTAAAGAATGGTTCTTGAATTAATTTTGGTTTGTGCACTAAAATTGAATATAATTAAGTTGGACTTGTTTTATTTTCAATATTGCTTAAACTAGTTCTAAAATAGATTTAGAATTAATTTTAAAGTCACACACAAAAAATCGGAATAAAATTTAGAGGCATAAGCAAGTGAAACGAGACACCAAGCCTCGAGGACCACCCTCGGTTAGCAGGGCTGCTTGCGCAACCCGCATGTTGCTGCCGAGGGAGTGCAGCGTGCAGGTGCGTGTGTGTGTGCACGATGTATGCAAGTAATTGGTGCGGTGATGTGCTAGCCCGTAAGTGCTGCTGGGCAGCAAACCTTGCGAGCACTAGCAAGCCAGCCACACACTGCTAGCGCCAGCAGCATGCGAGAATGCGTAGCATGCCGCGAGGCTGCTGGTGCCAGCAGGCGCGCCATGTGCTGCTAGATGAGCATGCCAGCACCTGCACGCAGCCTTGACCTTGGTGCCTAGCAAGCCTAGCCCCATGGCTTGGATGCTAGGCACTCAACCATTGAGGGGCTATTAATTTTGCGTTTTTTTGGTTTTTTGTTTTAATTAAAACGAGGCTAAGACTCGGTTTTTCCCGGCATTTGCAAAACAATTTGAATTTTTTTTTTGGTCAACCGACTTAATTAATTTTAATTGGATTAATTTTAATTAAGTTGGATATGGAATTTAGAGGGAGCTTCATTAATCGTTTTGAGCTATTATTATTGCGTTAATTCACATAATCGGATAACAATTTTGACTAAATTTAATTAGGCGCGTTAATTGGATTAACCACCTAAGTTAGTAACTAGTTTTGCGCGTGTTTTGGGTTGTTGCTAGATTTATTTGTAAAAATGTATGGGCCATTCACGTTAGTGAATGGATGAATGAAATGGATATTCTAATGAAGGTTTTATAAAATGACAACTAGTGGGGCCCGACTAGGATAGTAAATACGGAATGCGTGCATTTTGTATTTTTGTAAATCTAAATACGGACCGCGTGCCATTAAGTATTTTTGTACTTAAATTATTTAGATTAGTCCTACCTTTTCTAGTAGTTGCATAATTGGTGGTGATGTCTCGAAGACGGCGTTTCTAAGATCACGAAGCCAAGAAGATGGAATGAAGGCCCATGAAGATTTGAAGATTCATGTTTCAAGGGGTCATGCTAGTTGCCAAATGCATCTTTATTTATGCTTTATATATTGGAAAAATTCATGGGAATAATCTCACCTTTAGGCCATTCGTTTTTAATAATCCCACCTTTGAGTTATTTTTTAATAATCCGACCTTTACCCCCCATTCTTTTTTATTGGTACCATTTTACCTGAAACCGGTTGAGGAGATAATTTTTTTAATTTTTTTTATTAATTTACACGTGGCATTAGTTAATTGATAAAAAAAAAATTAAAAAACCCAAACCCAAACCCAATTCAGCCACCACCATCCCCACCACCACCCAAACCCAAACCCAATTCAGCCACCATCCCCACCGGACCCGAACTCCAAAACCACCCCACCAGCCTCCCCCCTCCCCCGCCTCGATTCCTACCACCCAACGCTGACTCCGCTTAACCCCCTCCCCTAAACCACCAACACGCCAAACCCTCCCCCGAAATCCCAGCCCAGCCAACCCCTCCCCTTAAACAACGCACCACCATCATCATCAAAGTGAGCACACACTAGTGGGTACGGTCTTCGCGCACGCACCAGTGGGTCTTCGCATTGAATTAGTGGCTGGTTGTGATGGCGTTTGATAGGCTATTGAGGGGCTACCGCTGTTTAATTGTTTTTAGTGGTGCGACGTTTGGAGGTGGGTTGGGTGGTTTGTGTGAGTTAGATTGGGTTGCTGACTCGAAGCAGGCTGCGTGATTGATGGTTGCGGTTTGTAATTTTTGGTGTTGCGTGGCTGTTGAGTTGCGGTGGCTGGCTGATTCGCTGCTGCTTGGGGTGCGCGGTTGATCTGGTTGTGGTTGGGGTTATGTGGGATAGCTGGTGGCTGGTGATGTGGTTGTGGGGTTGTAGCTTGTTGTTGTTGTAGGTTGTTGTTGATGAATTAGAGGAGCAGGGGAGCTGAATTGCGTGAGTGGTGGTTTATGCTCTGGCGGTTATGGAGGGAAGAAGGGAAAAGGGAAGGGGAATTAAAAAAAAAATATATATATTTTTTCTTTTAAATTTTTTTTTTGACCAATCATAGGCCGCCACGTGTCATGTAACCTGTTATAACAGGTTACATGACCGGTTGGGACCAATAAAAAGAAAGGGAGGTAAAGGTCGAATTATTAAAAAATAATCCAAAGGTGGGATTATTAAAAACGAACGGCCCAAAGATGGGATTATTCCCATGAATTTTTCCTTATATATTTATGCTTGTACTTATACATAATTGCGGTGATCGATGCGTATTTAGGATTTCGAATGTTGATGATTAATTTATCACTTAAATCAAGTAACATAGAAACCCTAAGTCCCAAAGAATATTGAGTTAAATCTGTCACTCTAAAATGACACTTACGGAACTAATGAGAATAGTAACGGGCTATGCCAAAACAACGCATTACTACTTTCCTAGGGAAGTAAGGTATGTTGGTGGGCTTGCCAAAGCAAGGAATCATATACACGTTAGTTTTGGTTAAACTCAACAATATCAGTAAGGAGTCCTTAGATGTCGTGAAAAAGGAGATAATCGTCAAGGAAGCATTGGATGCGAGGATTTATCGAACCAAGAGTAGCTTAGAGCTATTAGCAATAGGATTACTTACCTTAAAATATTAAGTGTTAAGACAAGCCAAAGCATGCTTAATCACTTATCGATTTTTGGGATCTTGGAATCGTTTTATTCTCGCTTAATTGGGACAAATTTATAAATGTGTGAATAGAACGTAAATAAGTTAATTGAAATTGTTTATTGCATGTATTTCAATGCTTATTATGTTATCTTGATAAATGGTAATACTTTGCTCTTATATTTGTAGAATTCTAAATCAAATTATAATGTTTACAACGATTGGTAAAAGGAAATCTTTTGAAAATGGTTCTTAAAAGTTAAGAGATGATGTATGATAAGAAATATAGGAAACAAGGAACATTGGAATGGAATACGAGACTCCAATTCTACCTAAGAGTTCATGTTATCGTAGTTAAACTTAACAACTCATTATCTTCACAAGTATCGAATACTGCTAGAGTGTTCTACTTTTAAAGTGACCTTAAACCATTCAAGTTAAGCTAATTTATTGACTTACAAGCTTGGAATGAAGCAAGTAGTGCTACATCAGTTGTAAGGTCATCTGCTTTGTTTAAAGACCTTTAAAAGCTAAGGCTGGAACAAATAAATGGTTATTGTGTTCCATAATCAGCAAACGATCCTTTTACACACAGAAAGACTCATATTCAAAGTGAAAGAGCAATAGTTGTCGGTTTTATTTGAATGGCATGGTTGTTTATTCCATGAGTCAAGGATGCTTGATTATAAACAAACATTTCTCTAACATGAAAACTCAAAAAGTTCAAGTCATGGACATGATTTCTGTTCCGAACATCTTTAGCAATGTCACATCGACAAGAACATACTCAAGGCTCTATCAGATAGACTCTTGAAAGTTAATCGATTCAGAATCATTCTAAGACAAGCAAGTCCTACTTGTTGAAATTGACAGAGAAAAGAGTTATTGTGCTTGGTATAGACAATTGACTCCAAAAGCTAAAGAGGAATCCATTACTTCAACGTTTTCACAAAAATTTGAAAGAATATGACTATATTCATCAAAATGAACAAACTGGATCTTGAGTAGCTCAAAAGTTCAGTGAAGTATAGAATCGACTGGGCAAGATATCAAAACATCTAGACTAGATCGAGCAATGTTTGCTTGAGCCAAAAGTGATCCTCTCAAAGTTATGAAATTGAAATTTCATCAATATCTCCACAAAGAATATAGTATGTCTTTACGGAGACCTCGATGCCATTTGGAAATGACTCGAACGATGATAGATCACATCCCTTCCTATTAAGTACTTAAAGATTTGCACGAATGACTAATGTTACACTAAATAAAATGTCGAATCTAAGAAAGGACACCGTATTCAGTTATGGATAGATTTAGCTTCTAGCGTCTTTTCAAGTATATGTCTAGGGCTCTTAGCTCAGTGGGAGTTCATTGGCTCGGTGGGAGCTAAGTGGCTCAAAAGGGCTAAGGTAGCTCAAGTGGGAGCTAACTGTTTGTTTCAGAACAAACTTTTACCCAAAGACAATATACATGTCTCTTTGTAAGCATTCAAGTGAGACTACGAGCATTGCTTCCACAACCTAAGTAAGAAAATTTTATTACCAAAAAACAAGTTACAACTTACAAAAACAGGGTTGTAACCACCAAACTACACAAGCCTACAAAAGGCACACATCCACCAAAAAAGAAAGTCCCTAATAAAAGGGGACAACCTGAACTCAGGAACAGGACAAACACCAGCAAACAGCCACCTAAACAAACGAAACTAACCTAAACAGGAACAGGAACAGGTTTAAGTTTCCTCTTCCAATGTTTCCACGAAGCTTCAATATCATAATGGATTTCTCTGACATTTAACCATTTGCAGATCAGGTCCAGACAGTGCCTACTGTAATTGCATTTGAAAAACAGGTGCTCTTTAGTTTCCAATTCAAATCCACACAGAAGGCAGGAGCTATCAGAACAGACCCCATAACTGAGCAGCTTATCTCTAGTTCTAAGCCTGCCCTGGATAGCAAGCCAAGTAATAAACGAGTGTTTTGGAACATTAAATCTGTTCCATACCCAGGCATCCCAGTTTACAGCCTGCAAATCACCTTGTAACCATATATAAGCCACACCAAGCTGATATTTACTGTTCATCCAGCCATTGTTCAGAAAACCAGTCTTTAATTCCTCCTTCACAGCACACACACGTTTCCAAGCCCAGCCATCACATCTTTTAGGAGTATAAGTCCACCAATCAGCATGCTTAATATACACAGAGTGCACCCATTTAACCCATAGGGAGTCTTCCTTTTTAGCTATTTTCCAAACGTACTTACCCAAAGAAACTTTGTTCCAACTACTACAATCCCTCACCCCCAATCCTCCATTTTTTTAGGCTTACAAATCCAATCCCATGAGATAGGAGGAACCTTAGACAAAACAGCATTCCCACACCATAAGAAGGCCCTGCAAAGTTGGGAAATTCTGTGCATAACAGCTTTAGGGAGCAAGACCACCTGAGCCCAATAAGTGTGCAAACTCATTAACACAGCATTCACAAGGACCACCCTAGCTGCATATGACAGATTCCTGCTAGACCAGCGGGTGATCTTAGCTAGCATCTTATCTATAAGACTGTCAAAATCTGTAACCCTCAAATACTTAGCATTAAGAGGGATGCCAAGATATCTGAAGGGGGTCTGGCCTTTAGTGAAATGAGTATCTGCCATAATTGATTGCTGTAACTCAGTATCCATGCTACCAAAGTAAATAGCAGTCTTGTCAACATTAGCACTCAAACCAGAACACTGCTCAAAGACCTTTAACACCCTAGCCATTAACATCACAGAAGATCTATATCCATGACAAAAAAGCATTAAATCATCCGCAAAAATCAAGTGATTAAGACTCAAACTCTTGCATCTCTGATGGTACTTGAAATGTCTTAACCTCCCTGATTTAATTAGGAGTCTAGACAAGTATTCCATAACCAACACAAAAATCAGTGGAGATAGAGGATCTCCATGTCTAACTCCTTGCTTCCCTTTAAAGAAACCAAACATGCCTCCATTAATCATAATGGAAAAGGAAGGAGAAGATACACACACCATAATCCATGAAATGAACACAGGAGGGAAATTTAAGGCATTTAACATATCCTCAATAAAACTCCAATGGACAGAATCATAGGCCTTCCTCAGGTTAACTTTTATAGTGCATCTAGGAGTCATTCTCTTATTGTTATAGCCTTTTAACATATCTTGACAGATCAAGATGTTATCCAGAATAGATCTACCATTATCAAAGCCCCTTGCATCTCACAGACAAGAATAGGCAACACCTCCTTCAATCTTTCACAGAGCATTTTAGAAATGACTTTGTAAACCACATTATAGCAAGCAATAGGACGAAATTGACTTACCTCCTCAGCACAATTAACCTTTGGAACCAGAGTAAGAACTGTGTTGTTTATTTGTTTTAGAAGTTTACCAGAGGTAAAGAAATCAAGAGCAGCCTTTGTAAAATCAGAACCCACCACCTCCCATGAAGCCTTGAAAAATTTACTAGAAAAACCATCTGGACCCGGGGCCTTATCATCATCAATTTTCCAGAGAGCATCTTTCACATCCATCTCAATCAATGGCCTGCACAACCTTTCCTGCATCTCCAAGCTCAAAACAGCACCCTCACTGATTACACTAGGATGAATATGATTTTTAGGCTTAGAGTTTGACCCAAGCAGATTTTGATAATACTCAACAAAAGCAGAAGCTATCTGATCAGGGTCCCTAAGCCAAACCCCATGTGAATCTTTGATACTGTGTATGCTGTTCTGCAGTCTTCTCTTTCTAATACAAGCATGAAAGAACTAAGAATTTACATCTCCCTCCTTTAACCAGTGTAACTTTGCTTTCGGCTTCAGAAACTTCATTTTTTTCGAATGAGCATCAGCATATAGTCTCCTAGTTTCAATTTCTTTCTCAATCAAACCAGCATTACCTGGATCAGCCACAAGCTCCATCTAACACTTATACAAATCAGCAGCCAACTGGGAATCCTTACTTAAAATGTCAGAAAAATTCAGTAAATTCATTTTCTTTAAGGCGTTTTTCACTGCATTAAGCTTTTTGATCACTGTAAACATAGCAGTGTCCTGCACAGGAGTACTCCAAGCCACTCTCACAGCCTCTAAAAAACCAGGACAATCCACCCAAGCATTGAAGAATTTAAAAGGCTTTTTACCACTGTCCTTATGATCAAACAAGGAAATGAGACAAGGGCAATGGTCCATGAGACCTTCAGGCATAAACGTAGCTTTTGCCTCACATACCTTATCAACCCAATCAACATTCACAAGAACTCTATCTATCCTTGTACAGACTCTACTCCCTGCATCCTGTTTGTTATTCCAGGTATAAAAAGGCCCACCTGTATTCCAGTCCATCAATAAGCTGTCTCGAATACACTCTCTAAAATGTTCTACTTCTTTCAAATCAACAGTAGAACCTACCCTATCCTCAAGGTTCAAAACATTATTAAAGTCTCCACAAAAAAACCAGGGCCCTTGAATGTTCTTAATGACATCCACAATATCCTTCCATAACGCAACTCTCTCATTATTCAAATTTTCACCATAAACAAAAGAACAATAGAAAATAAGCCCAGTACTTCTATGCATAATTTTACAATGAATCAGTTGAGAAGACACTCGTAGAATATTCACCTGAAAAACAGAAGGTATCCAAATAACCCAAATCCTACCCTTCCAACTATAAGCATAATTTGCCACAGCAGACCATTCATCACCCAATCTACTAAAAACCTCACCAAATTTAGCACTTTTAACTTTCGATTCAAGAAGTCCAAACAAGCCAATTTTATTTTGTCTAAGGAACCATAGCACATCACTGGTTTTATTAGGCATGTTCAGACCTCTCACATTCCAGAAGCCACACCTATCCATGAATGGAATAAGTGCACTCACCTCCCTGACCTGTGTTATACAAGATAGCCTCCTGCACCATCCTTGGCCCCTCACTGACACTTGCATTCTTCCTACCACCTGATCATCATTCTTCTCTGAATTATCTCGGTTTTGACTTGTGCATTCATGTTGCATAACATTCTAAGCTGCTGGCCTCCTAACAGGCCTCCACTCTCTCACCACTCTCCTAGCAGGAGCATATGCACCATTTCTCTGTCTCTGATTTTGCTGATGTCTATGATTTGGACAATTTGGCACCTCATGCCCCAATCCCTTACACACTGAGCATGTGACAGGCTTCCATTCATAGAGAACATGCTGTTTCACCAAGTTACCGTTTTCATCAAGAAATTCAATATAATCAGGACACTCCCCGTTGAAATTTACCTCAATCATAACTCGAGCATACTCAATCAGTTCTTTTGTTACCGTAGCCCTATCCATTTTCATAGGCTTACCCAACACACCACTTATCTTCATTAAAGATGACTGTCCCCAAAATCTTAAGTCTAGTCCTAGAAATCTGACCCATACCGGGACAACAGTGATCTTTTCCTTCCTTAGGTCAAGGCCAGTAACCCAACGTTTCAAAATAACCGGTTTCCTATCAAACATTAATGGACCAGCTTCTATTACCCTCTCCCTACCCTTTTTCTCCTTAAATCGAACCACAAAAACACCATTGGCCATCATAGAGACCTTATCGACATCAAACTTTCCCCACACACGTTTAGCAAACCCTGTAAACACCTGCAAGGGAGGTCAGGAGCACAAAACATAGCACACAATCGCAAATTCCCAGTAATCAATCTCAGGTTGAACATCATCCATAGACAAACGCACCCTACCCCCAACACCATTTCCATTTGATTTTCCTTCCTGATTCACCCTACTATGCCTACAATTCAGGTTCTCAAAAGAATTAGGGTGAAAAAGATCACTCCATTTCTCATGATTTTCACTTCTAGATCTCGGAGGGCCAAAAACTGGGCAGTTAGTTCAGGGCTATCAAACCCAGTAAGGCTACCAACACCTCTTTCAATCATCAAAGGAGTAGGGTTTAGGATCCTACCATGACTGAAAACACCCTCTGATTCATCAGTAACCCCCCTAACTTGGCTTGTATGCCCAACAATGGGTGTTACTGTTACATTGGATCCAGTATTAATGGGAGAGTTTCGATGAATTACCTCCAGCCACTGATTGAATTGAGTTGCATGTTGTCTCTTCTCTTCCTCATCCACCAAATTCATCATCTGATCCTCCATAGATACAGTCTCCAACCAACTAACATTCGATCCACCCTCATTTGCATCATCTTTATTCTTCTTCGCAGCAAGCACTGGCTTCTCCTTAGATTTTTCCTTCGATTTCTATTTCTTCTTCTTCTTAGAGGAGGAATTCTTTTTCCCTTTACCTTTCCTGCCCTTATCCATAGCTCAATCAACTGATTTCAAGGCAAAAATGGTGGGAAAAGGTTTTTCTCTCTCTAGGGTTTTTCTCTCTCTAGGGTTTTTTTGGGAACATAGTATTTGTTGCTCTAACTGGTGTCTTTCTGGAAAATAACACATTTCCAAAATGACAATTGGGAGGAAAATGAACTCGATGACCATCGAGATTAGTAACAAATTCTAGGCGAAAAATGGTAATCAGCACCGGTTCAAAACCCCCATTTAGCACCATTTTTTAACTAGTGCAGATTTGAGGGATACCAAAAACCAGAAGATTTCGCACTAGTTAAAAACCGGTGCCAATTCTTAGATTTTGCACCGGTTCTTGCTGTGAACCGGTGCTAAAAATGGCCCAAAAAAATAATAAAAAAAAACTTTTAGCACCGTATCTGTTTCAAAATCGGTGCTAAATATGCCCAAAAAAATAAAAAATAATTTTTTTTTTAATTTGCATTTTTTCACTTAAATTGTACCTTATACTTATATATAATCATAATATACATAAAACACATATATTTTCTTCAATAACTTGTAATATTACACTTTAAAAAGCTAAAGAAAAAAAAAGAAACAAAAAACAAACTACACAATTAAAGATAGGAGGTAGTAGCAGCTCTAAAGTAGCAACAACAGCAGAGGTAGAAGGTCATGCTTTGATATAGCACGTAAACAGTCGTCCTCTGATACTGGTTTACGGGCATTTTTACGCTTCAAACATAGAAGGTCTAATAACTCCTGTAAGTTTATCAAGCCTCCATTGAGCGATCTGGTGGCCAAACATGTTTCAACAATTTGCACCCCTTTCTAGGCAACAAGATGTATCAGAAAATACTAGACATGAATAAAAATGCATCACACCAAAAGCAAAGGCAAGCAGGCAAAGCATCATAATATATACTTGTAAAATTTAGCAAAAAATGAATCATACAAAAGAGCTAAGACATCATGACACTCACCAAGTTCATAATTAAAAGTCACCAATTCCCAAAAGCTCTGCCCAAAAACCCTTGTTTGAGGCAAGAGGATCCACCCCTACTTTAGAGCACATCTCATGAGATGTAGCTCTGAATGTCGAGTTTTTCCGTATATCATTCTGTAGAATAAAGAAAAGTGAAAAATAGAATTACAATATCATCTCTACTTTATGCCAATTTGCACTGTTTAAAAGGATTCTTCTGCATTTAACTTTTAATAGCTCAATTAAGGTCCCAAGTATAAAAATTTTTGGTTACCTAAAGCTCAAGACCATGTAAACAGTAATCCTAATGTCTACTTAGTCAATCAATGACAGTGAATGATAAAGAGAGGGGCTTGATCAATCGCAATTATTGAAACAAATTAACAAAACCCTAGATCAATCGCAATAAAACTGAGTTGTGGAATCTGATTTCAAACCCCAAAACTTACTATCAAGTCTGCTAAGGCTACTAAAACCCAATTAAACCCATAATCTGAACTAAGTGAAAACACCTAGATATCAAAATTATAGGAAAAGTCAAAAAGGGGTTTCTGGGAATAAAAAAATTACAATATCCATCGAACAAGAGGGACAAAATCAAACATCACATACAAAAAAAAAAAAGGAAATTCAAATTGGCCTTAAGCTTACTCAAGCAATAATCTTATATGGTCTTTAAGAAAGCAAATGAAAGAATAGGACATATATTCAAATCATTAATATAACTATCTTCCCAGATGTTTACTGTATGTGCAACGAATTTCAATAAACCACTAGCGTACGCAACACACGGACAAATCATACATATCAATCTACTAGTAGTTCAAAATGAGTCCC